CCTAAACCCTAAACCCCCCAACCCCTCAACGCCCCCCACCCAAGCCGAGCCGTTAACACCCGTGCGAGTCAGCATGAGCTAGGAGCCGACCAACAGCTGCTCTCCGCAGTGACTGCTGAGCACAAGCGAAGTGAACACAGGACCGTAGGTTTTCCCTAAACCCTAAACCCTAAACCCTAAACCCTAAACCCTAAACCCTAAACCCTAAACCCTAAACCCTAAACCCTAAGCCCTAACAGGAGGGCCCCCGTGGCAGCAAAGGCTTGCAAAGGGCAGTTGCGGCACATCCACGCACAACAATCTCAACTTACCCTATACTTCGAATCGAATAATGAGGTTGCTAGGAGCCCATGAAGGACCCCAGAAATCAATCCCTGGAAGGCTGGGGTTTGCTCCTGAACCCAACGCCCTATACTTACACTTCCCGCAGTGTATCGCACTCTCAGGGAGCAGTTGGGCGTGGTCCCCTATAAGCCCTAAGCCCTAAGCCCTAAGCCCTAAACCCTAAACCCTAAGCCCTAAGCCCTAAACCCTAAACCCTAAACCCTAAACCCTAAACCCTAAACCCTAAACCCTAAACCCTAAACCCTAAACCCTAAACCCTAAACCCTAAACCCTAAACCCTAGCCAGCCTAGCTGCAACTCCTTTCCACAGTGTAGTATATCTTGCCTCTGACTCTGAGGCGGGGCCCATCGAAGGAGCTTTAGGATACTTTCGTGGCCCCCTTGACCATGGGCCGGCGTTGTTGTTTTTTTTGGGTTTAGGGTTTGGGGTTTTAGGGTTAAGGTCCGACTCGTCGGTTCGTTTGAGGTGGGTTTAGGATCCTTTTTTTTTATTCATACAAGTTTAGGGCGGGCGGGGTAAGGGCTTCGAGGGGGGGTTTAGGGCTGATTCGTCGAAATCGCCTTTCTAGAAGGCAGGGAGAGTTCTGAGAAGCGCTTCCGGGGGAGGCGAAGCGCCACTCAGGATACAGAAAGCAGGCTGGAAAAAATGGCGCCTCAGCTCGAAATTCTCCGAAGCCCTAGACCCTAAACCGAGCTGTTTCGTGCCACGCTGCTGTAGCTTTTTTCCTCCCCCGCCGGATAATTTTGAGCCCCTCGGGTGTTTTTGGCCGTTGCAGCCGCAGGGCGAAGCCAGGGGTCATGTACCGTCATGCCTTTCCCAAAAGGGTTTTAGGGTTTGGGGTTTGGGGTTTAGGGACAGGGCTCCCCTATATGCCCCAAATATAGCACAATCCCCTGATGAAGGACCCCCAAGAAGTACTCTAATGTCGGGACATTTCTCATGTGAACAAGAGGAACTTAGCGCAGTGGATCCGGGTGTGGGGTTTGGCTTCGTCTACCGCCATGGTGCGCGCCCGCCTAGGTCAAGAGCCACAACTACGTGAAGTCTGACACCTTCACGTGAGGAGCTCGGTCCCGAAACCACGGCAGTCTATTCAGGGGTTTAGGGTTTAGGGTTTAGGTTGTAGGGTTTAGGGTTTAGGGTACAACGAAGCAACCCAGAAGCAGGCCCTCAACCCCAGCTCGAAATGCCCCGGACTCCTACAGCCCAAACCCACCAACCCCGCACGCCAAGTGTCAGCCCAGGTGGGGAGAAAGCCGCAGCCTCAGGCAAACAGAGGCCATCAAAGGTTTAGGAGTTTAGGAGTCGTGGTTTAGTGCTGAGGTTTAATGCAATCTCATCGTGCTCGGACGCACCCATTGGTGTCTGGCTTCAAGATGTCCAGTGCCAACGTTTGAGGGTTTAGGTTTGGGGGAAGACTTTAGGGAGCTTCCCACATGCTGCGCCAGGCTGACTGAGCTGTGACAACTCGCCTTGCTTCAGGCTCTCACTAGGGGACTGGACTAGGCTTTCAGCATCGTTGGTGAACTTTTCTCGTACTGGCAGCTAACTTGCAATGAAACCCTAGACCTTCCCAAGCGCCGAAGATAATGCCAGGCACCGGCCTTAGTTCCCAAGTCACCAGATACTGCGTGTGTGCTTACATAGGGCGGCCGAGGATGAGCTGAGGGATATAGACAAACTCTTCGGAGCTTCTTAGGGTTTAGGGTTTAGGGTAATCCAGAATTCCTGCTTCAGGCAGCTGGTGCATGCAGGCATTCTAGCTTTTTCACCAAGGCTCCGGGCACGACATGCTCCTAGACTACTCGCAGCAGGCAGCTGAGGGTCTATAGGGGCTTGGGGCGCTTAGGGGTTTAGGGTTTGGGATTTGGGGTTTAGGGTTTAGGGTTTAGGGTTGAGGGTTTAGGGTTCATAAAGAGCTCCCAAACGCGCCATTTCGTCATGGCGAAATCAGAACTCCTGCTGTGTGCTGGACACGTTGGCTGTGTTGTTTGAGGGCAGCCTCACCAGCTTCCTCCTTTTCCCACGTAGGGGGCCTTCAGATTTTAGGGCTCTAAGAGCCAGCCAGTAACCCCACCCCCCCCTCTAAATGCAGGACCCTGAAAAGCGTGAGAGTTGTAGGCCAGTGGTTCAGGGTTTGGGGTTTGGGGTTTAGGGTTTAGGGTAGAAGCCTCAAAGCCCAAGCCGGATCGAAGCCTCAAACCCCACCTTCGCCCAGCAGGCAGAGGCGCACAAGCGCTGGGAGAAGAGCGGAGGCTGCAGCTTAGGGTTCAGGGTTTTAGGGTTTTAGGGTTTTGGGGTTTAAGAGTTTTAGGGTTTTAGGGCTTTAGGGTTTTAGGGTTTTAGGGTTTTAGGGTTTGAGGGTTTGAGGGTTTTAGGGTTTTAGGGTTTTAGGGGTTTAGGGGTTTAGGGCTTTAGGGGTTTAGGGGTTTAGGGGTTTAGGGTTAGTGTTGGAAGGGTTTAGGGTCTAGGGTGTAGGGTTTGGAACAAGGGTTGCGGGGACGGGGGGTGAGGGGGGGTGGGGGGGCGGTAAGGGTTTAAGTTTTTTCAGATGTCACAGGTAAAGGTCTTGGGGATGGCGTGTGGTTTGGGGATTGAGGGTTTCAGGTTGAGATAACTGTACTTATTAACCATATTACGGCACTTGAGGGGCTTATGAGTGGGTTAAAAGTAGAGTTATAATTGGTTTATAAGTGCCATGAACCTCCAAGTAAGGATGTAGGGTTTGAGGTTTAGGTTTTGGCGGGGTGGTGCGGACTGAAACCCCGAGCTAAGCAAACCACTGAAATTTAGACTCTGGGTCGAGATCGGAGGCTGTCGAGTTGCGAGTTTCGGGTTTTGGGGTTTAGGGTTTAGGGTTTAGGGTTTAGGGTTTAGGGTTTAGGGTTTAGGGTTTAGGGTTTAGGGTTTAGGGTTTAGGGGTTTCGGGCTTCAGCTTGTACCGGCGAGCGCCCGGGACTCAGCGGCAAGCAAGGCTTCGGCTCCGTTTCTTCGGCTCCGTTGCGGCGTTTTCTAGAAGTCTATCAGGGTTTGCCTAAACCCTAAACCCTAAACCCTAAACCCTAAACCCTAAACCCTAAACCCTGAACCCTCCGAAGGCGTGGCCCCTGTAGGCCCTACATCCCAAAGATTCGATTCAGAGGTAGGGTCCTCAAGCCTACCTGACTTGGAGGGTCATGGGTACTTCTACCCCCAACTATACGTCTACTTCTAACATCCTGCTTAGAGGACTTAGGGGATTCGGGGGGCTCATAAGTGCAGCAATAGTTTTGGGGTTGTGGCTGCCCGCCTGAACCGCCCAGTAAGACCCACCGGAGAGATGCAACAGTCGACCGACAGCTCCCTAAACCCTAAACCCTAAACCCTAAACCCTAAACCCAAAACCCTAAACCCTAAACCCTAAACCCTAAACTGATTGCAGGCTCCGGGACCCTTCTGCCGTTCTCCAGGCCCAGGGACATGGTTGCTCTTGAAAGATCCGGAGTGGGCCCCTTTTTACAGGGTTTAGGTTCCCCTATAGTCCCCTTTTAAAGCAAAAACGGGTGCCCTTTTTATACCTAGGTTGCTCTTGAGGCCCTTTTTTTGGTGGTAGTTGGAGATTCATGAGCACTTGCAAGTACGGCCCCAAATAGGTCATAACCTTAGGTATGACCCTGCGTAGAAGTTCCCATGAACCTCCATGTACTGTACACCCTCAACATCCCTCAACTGGATGTAGTACACTATGAAAGTGAGCAAAAACTACAGGGGCCCCAGTTTAGCATCGCCTTCAACCTTAGATCCGTTTCTTTCGGAAGCTGGCCTCTTCCTTGAGAACGTTTCTGTAGGGACTGCCAGGGATGAGGGGGGAAGGGCTTGTTTCGGAATCGTGTTTGTGGGATCTCGATTGTTCCTGCAAGTACTCCTACCATCTACTACCCCTTCGACCCCGACCCCACAAAATGCGGCCGGGAGAATGCTTTGCTCCGAGACCTGCCAGACCCTCCTCGGCCTCCCGAAGTTAGGGGTACCTTACTTTTTTTGTAAGGGAGTTCTACTGTTTGGGGTCTAGCTTGGGGGTCCCTTATTTTTGTGAGCTCCCTTTTGAGTCCATCGAGTCCGAGAATGTTCGGGGTTTTGCCCGATCCGCGTTTCGCCTTCCGCCAGGCCTTCCAACGGTATCACGGGAAAGCCCGTTCAGCCGCAGTGCGCTCGGACGAAGGTTTGGGATTTCGGGTTTGTAGTGCTTAAGCCCTGATCCCTCAACCCTAAACCTAAACCCAAAACCCTATGCCCAGTCTGAGCCAGAGCCAGCCGGAACAGAATCGCATATCAAGCCTTTTTCAGCTGCGAAAGCACATCTGTGAGTTAAGGTTTCCATTCAGGACGTTCTGGGCCGAAGGGCATTTCTCGTCAAAGATTCGGGGTCTCAGTTTTCTGCAAATGGCTTTTCAGGTTTGCGATGGGAGACTCCTGGGCCGAAGGGCCTTTCCCATCGAACAAAGATCGGGTCCAGAATCTGAGCATCCAGGGTAGGGTTCAAGGCCCCGCCTTCTGCCTGCAAAAAGTCGGGTTCAGGGTTTAGGGTTTAGGGTTTAGGGTTTAGGGTGTTTTTGGGTTCAAAGCCTCTGAAGCCCAAAGCCCAAAGCCCAAAGCCCAAAGCCCAAAGCCCAAGGTGGAAGCCCAGGCAGACAGTCTACGCGCAGAGCCCACCTCAGGCGCGTGGCGGCGCGCAGACTTTGGAGGTTGAAATTGGGTACTTTCAGCAGGGTTTGGGGTTTAGGGTTTAGGGTTTAATGTTGCACCCGCTTTAGTATCGGCCCCCTCTTTAAAGACAAACTGGCCGAATTATTCAGGACACCCTGACTGTTTGGGAGTCCCTCTTTAAAGACAAACCGCCCCCGAAATCCGGATTTTTTTGTTAGGATTTGGGGCTTGTTTTAAATTAAGTTGATTGAAACAACTAATTAATCCTCAATACCAAACCTCCAAATCCAAAACCCTTAGCTCTGCAAAGCTCAGTTTTCTTCTCAACCTGGGTGTCTCAAGCTTTTGAAAAAGAGGGCCCATGCTGCCTCAGGCTGCAAGTTGATGACTGAGTTAATCCATCATCCCTAAACCCGCACTGTTGGACTGCCGGATGTCCTGAATAATTAACTGAGGCAGCAGTGGTGGCCGGCCCCAGAGGGGGCATGTTCCTGAGCCTGGATTTGCTCAGGTTTCTTTGGCGCGGGAAGCCTCACTACCCTTCTCAGCCTGAATTGGCTGAAGCTTGTTGGCCTTGAGCATCTCTTTGAGATACTGAGCGAATTCCTGGGTGGGATTTGCTCAGGTTTCTTTGGCACCGGAAGCCTCACTACCCTTCTCAGCCTGAATTGGCTCAGGCTTGTTGGCCTTGAGCATCTCTTTGAGATACTGAGCGAATTCCTTGGGTCCTGCAGCAGAGGAATGGTCTCAAGAAAGGGCTGACAAGTGCAAAAGGCTGATGGTAGAGTTGCAGTCCTGGCTGAAAGGGCAGCTTCCCCTGAGCAGCGGCCTCAGTGGTGAGGTGGTACTTCAGGGCTTTCTCAGCCTGGCACTGAGGACAGCCTGTCTGCCATCGGCAATTCTGGCAGATCCCTGGCGAGTGCTCTAAGGCCAGAATCTTGGCCGTGGCTTCTTTGCTGAGATGCTTCCAGGTGAACCTGAAGAGGTTCTTGTCGAGGGATTCCTTAGCAGCCACAGCAGCCTTGGTTGTCGAAGCCTTGGCTGTGTCTAAGGCGTGCTGAGCTTTGGCTACCCTCTTCTCTGCTTCCTTTCTCTCGGCCTCAGTCTTGTTGTAGGCCTTCTCGATCTCAGCGATCCTCAGCTTCTGCTCCTTCTCAAGATGTGGCTTCATCTTGAGAAGCCTCTCCTTCCAAGTCTTAGCCAGGAGCCCAGGCCAAACCCTCAACCATTCTCCTCGGGCCTGCCTCACTTCCTGCTCCATCCAGGCTAAGACATAGAACCCGCAGAACAGTGACCCCTGAGGCTGCACTGCTGAGTTGGTCTTCTTGGGCAGGCTGAACTGAGGATCGAGCAAGCTCCCAATCCTGACCTGAGCCAAGGTGCAGGCCTCAATGGGCTCCTGAAGGCTGTCGTAGAGTCGCCACTGAAAGCCCTCGGTCTGGTCCAGGGACTCTCTCTGAGCCACCAGCAAAGTCCAGTGCAAAGCCCTAACCAGTGGAACCAGAAGCCTGAGACCATTGCTGAAGGCTTTCTTAACAGCATCTTCACGTGGCTCAAGCAAGTGCTCAGGAAACTCGAAGAGCAAGTGAGGAAGGCCAGGGTCTAAGCACTCCACTGAGAACTCCTCAAAGGATCCTGCCTTGGCTTTTCGCAGGGACCAGCTCATCATGGCCCAGCCCTGCCAGATCCACTGATCCTCGACCAAGAAAGGCTTCTCAGTTTCAGGAAAGGGCACTAAGCCATGGTCGGCATAGTCGTCGTAGCTCAGCTTTGGCTCAGGCCAGCAGGAGATGGCCCTGAGGATCGCCTGAGTATCTGCCCTGCTGAGGTATTTCAGCTGAGCCCAGACGAACTCAGGAGTCTTGGGCTCCCAAAGCGTGAGATGCTCAGACCTGATCTCGAAGGTGCCACTCACGGTCATCACAGTGTAGCGACCTGACTGGAAGTCTGAGGCCAAGCCCTTAATGCCAAAGAGCATGTGGCCAGCAGCCTCGGAGACACAAATGACTTCTTTCTCAAGGAAAGGAGCCAGCAGGGCTGAGGGCTCAGTCTCAGTCTTTGTGGGCTCAGCTTTGGCCTTAGCCTTCTTCTCCTTCTTCTTCTTGGCTGTGACCTTAGCAATGACCTTGTCTACAGTGGCCTTGTGCTCGTGCTTCTTAGCTGCTTTCTTCTTAGCCGAAGCCTTCAGGAACTTGCTGGCCTTGCTCTTTGCTGAGGGCTTGTTCTTTGCTGAGGGCTTCGTGGTTGCACTCAGTTTCTGGCCTTTGGTCTCAGTCCTCACAGGGACCACCTGACTGAGTGCTTCTGCCCGACTGCTCAGCATCAGCTTTTGTCTCAAGCTTTGCAGAAGCTTGCCCCTGAAGGCCGTCCTGTGCTTCAGCCTCTCCCTTCTGAGCTCTGCTTTTTTCCTGATGTCCTTCACTCTCTCAGTGTAGCCCTCCTCAAGAGCTCTGCGAGCTGCTGCACGTCTGAGCTTTGGGTGCAGCCTCAGGGAAAGGCTGTTCTGCAGACTCAGGTCCAGGTCCTCTGCAAGGTCGGCGTCTAAGTCAAAGCCTCCATCCTCAGGCTCCTGTTCAAGGTCTTCCTCAGGGTTGAAGTAGTCCCACCTGATAAGGTCGGAGATCTGCTTAGCTGAGTCGCTCAGAGACCAGTCAGCCTGGATGGGTTTGCCTGCGTCGTCCAGCCACTTAAGCCTCTCTGAGAGCCAGCTGGCTGGGAAGCGACGACTGCCCATCCTGAGGTCGAGCTCCTTAGCCCAGGGCTGCTCGGAGACCGTCTCAAGCCTCCCAGTCTCAGGGTTGGGCCGATAGGCCAGAAGGCCATTCCTGACGGCTGCCCTCACGACCCAGGATTGCTCTTCGTTCTTCTGCCTCAGCTGCTCCTCAGCCCAGACCACTGAGGTGACGATCTCAAGGGCACCCACTCGCCACACCTCAGACTTCCCTGAGAACTTTTGCTGCTCCTGAAACTCTGTTCTCAGGGAGGACAGCTTGTGCCTCACGGCACCCTTGAACTCTCTGGCGAAGTCTGAGTCCGTGATCTGGAGCTTAGACGTGCACTTCGCAGCAACTAAGCAGCTGATCTGCTGGGCTAAGGCCATCGACTCAGCAGCCGTGTCTGAGAACACGGAGCTGAAGCAGTCTCTCTGCCAGACTGAGCAAGGGTACTCAGTGGCCTGGCCCTCAATGACCCAGCTCAGGATCACGGAGTCGACGTTCGCAGCTGGCTGGCTCATGATGTCCAGCTTAGCGACCAGCTCAGGGTGAGCCTGCCTGAGCTTTCGATAGCTGAGCAAGATCTTGCCGACTGAGGCACCAGCTGAGTGAACCTTCTCCTTAGCACCGACCCTGAACCTCTCAGTCCGGATCCACTTGCCGTCCTGAGAGATGTTGCTGAGGCGAGCCCACTGGCCGGGCACCACCAGCAACCCCTTGCCCACTAAGCCGACGACTGGCTTGCTGGGCTCATCCAGAACCTGAAGAAGCACCTGACGGGCCTCGTAGGTGATTCTGAATCTTTCGTCGGCTGAGAAGCCTAAGGTGGTCTTAGCTCCGGCCTTAGGCAATGCCTTCTTCTGTTTCTTCTTAGGCTGCTGATGCTCAGGGCCTTTCTGACTGTGCCTGAACCTCTGCTGCTGCTCCTCCTCTGCTTTCTCCTCGGTCTGCAGAGGTTTCTCTGGGCTAAGGCTGCTGAAGCTCAGGCCCTTCTGACTGTGCCTGACCCTTCTGAGCCGAAGCTGAGGGCTTTCTTTACTCCGGGAGTGCTGTCACCTGTGTCGCTGATGGGAACCACTGAAAGGTTGCATCTGAGTCAGTCCTCATGGCATCCTCAATGGCTTCCCTGACCTCAGAAAAGTCCTTGGTGGTCTCAGCTGAGTGGAGCTCCTCAGCAGAGAAGACTGCCTTTCGGCCTGTGGCCTTAGCCCACAGTGGCACCTGATCGGAGAAGCCGATGGCTAAGTGAGCCCTGTTCTTCACGAAGTCCTCAGGGTCTGACACCCTCTTCTCAGCAGACAGCTCAGGAAGAGAGCTCAGGCTGGCCAGCCAGAGGCACCAGTCGAACTCTTGCCAGGTGAGCTTGCACCTGACCTGAGACTCAAGGCTGCTGATGTTGCTCACGACCTCTGAGGTGGTGAACTTGGCCTTGGTCCATCTCAGGAGCTTCTCAGTGAAACTCCTGCGGTAGGCCTTGCTTTTGCTCAGCTTCTCAGCCCTGGCCTCTTTGTCCTCAGCATCCTGCTGCAACTCAGCCACCTTCAGGTTGCTGAGGCCACGTTCTTCTGCCCTAAGACGAGACTTAGTGGCCGAGAGCCTCAGCTGAAACAAGAACTCCTGAAAGAAGTCCTGCTGGCTGATCGTGTGGCCACAGGCTCGCTCAACAGCCAGCCACTGAGAAAGCGTGGCAAGGACCTCAGGGTAAGGCACCTTCCGGCCAGCCCCCGAAACTCTAACTCGCTTCTTGTTCTTAGAGTTTCTTCTCCGAAGAGGTGCCTTGCTCATTTCTGCATAGGCCTGACTTTGGCTGACGATCCTGCTGAGCTGTTTCTTAGACAGGCCATGCTTTTCGGTCATGGCCTGCCAGAACTTGCTCTCAGTGGAAAACTGAGACTTGGACTGAGCCAAGTCCTCAGCAATCAGCCTCTTTCGATTGGCTGTCAGCTCAAGGCGAGCTTTCTGAAACTTCCTCTTCCCGGCCTCAGGGGCGACTCTTGTGAACCTCTTGCCCTGAGTGAGTCGTCTCCTCTTGGCAATCTCATGAGCCCTATCTTCGTCCTCCTCTGCCTCCTTCTCAGCCACAAGAGCTTCAAAGGCCTCCTTAGATGCTTCGAACTCGAGCTGAGCCCTGCTCTTGTGGCTCCTGTGGTAACCTGTCAAGTGCAGCTCGAAAGGCTGAGCAGATGCCTTCTGCTCAGGTGTTCCGAAGAACTTTGTGAGGCCATACTGCAGAACTTTTCGTGCTGTGGACTGAGGAGTGATCGCGATCTGCTGAGAAGCTGGGCTCGCGGTCTGCT